TGCACAACCTAAGTACAAATATGACAATCGAGAAATATATATATATATATACAGGAGTATACACATAAATTAAAATGAACTACTTAATTCAAGGAATCATAGAAAAATTTATCCACTTTGTAGTATACCTTTTTGAGCAAGAGTTTCTTGCTTTTTAAACATATTTAATGAGTCAGCACTTCCTATTATTAATTAATTGCCAAGAGGTTAAACATTTTTCCACTATACACAATACAAGGGACACTACATATTTCAGTTTCACATTTAAATTAGTTATTTGTATATGTCTTTTATTAGTTCCAGTTTTTATCCGTACTGAGCCACTAAAACTTTTTAATGGTAATGTCTCTGTAAGTTTAGGTACGTTTTGGCTATCATCTTGATCTCAATCTATCAGATAGCAATGCTAGGTATGAAGATTTAAATCCTAGATGTAACATATCCTCTTCCAAGTTTTGTGATGGAAAAATTCAGTTTCAGATGAACACTATCTTTTTTACGCCAAAGAGAAACTATATTAAGCTAAATTCCTTAAACCATGGCTAAATTCGAAATAAATTACCTACTTTTTTTGTATAAGAGCACAAAATATTTTTTTTATTTGGCCTTACTTTTGCACAAGCGTCTATCTGCCTATAGTGACTTTTCTTGTATTATTGAGCATAACTTGATGTTATTTGACGCAGTTGTTATTTTCTTCTAAATATATTTTCAGTTTTATAATGATTATAGAACTAGGAAATAAAAATTAAACTTCTTGACAATCATTACAAAATGTAAACAAAGCCATGGAATGGCATGGCAGTGTATAGGCGGCCGTGGCAATACCGATGTTGACGTCATAAAACCTGCGCACCGCTTCACCTGTATCCTTACACCATGATTAAACCCTTAATCTGGATTAAACGTGTACGGTGCATACGGGCGTTATTCATTTATAAAATACTATTTTTGTGAACTTTTGTGAGAAATATAAAGAATTATGGTACATGCATGTGTAGTGTTCAATAAGGTAGATCATTTAAATCGAAATTTATGGTTTCATCGGTAAGTATTTTTAGGTTAAGATATGTTGTTTTCATTTGAACCAGTGGAGTAGCAGGGCACCCGTCTTAAGACAATTTCTTGTACAAGATTTGATACAATTTCTTATAGAATTTAAATTATATAGGATCACATAGTAAATTGTTTGAAAAATGATTATCCAATTTAATTTTTCAGACAATTTACTGCAGGTTTGATAATATACAATTTTGATACAATTTGTACAAGAAATTGTATCAAAAACTTGTGTAGTCTAAAACAGGCTTAAAACAGTTTTTAAAGTGATATTCTTTTTATAAATTAGTAAATTTTTCTTATACCAATAAATAATTATTAAATAGTGGCAAAGAAAATTTAACGTAAAATGTAGAATACCTTAAAAATGATTTACCTATTGAGCACCTATACATATTTTTTAATATTCTATTTAGGTTTCCGCAAGATCCCGAGAAAAGAAAACTTTGGTTTTCTCTAATAGGGATCCTTGAAAATCAGCCCCTTCGTAAAAACCCAGAGTTGTGTTTAGAAGACTGTTTTCCTGAAAATGTTTTGGTACGTGCAAATGGTATTAGATATATCAGAAAGGATGCAAACTCCAGAAGGTGTGAGGGCTTTCTATTTTTGGATGACTTATCCAACAGGTAAAAATACAAAATATTAATTTTTTGTTTACCTCTAAACATTATTTATTACCTATATGTATGTATATCTAATGTATGGGTTTTTAGTTCTGATTCAACTGTTTTTGGAACACCACCTGCTGCAAAAAAAAACACTGCAGTAAGTAATAACACTAATAACTAAGCATAAAAAAATTAAATTAAATTTTAGTTAATAAAATTAAAGAATTTAATATATTTAAAACGTTATTTTAAAAATTTTTACAGTTTTTTTACGATATGTTTTGCCATACCATGTTTTTTGTTATTATTAATTAAAAAATTATATATTTTTAGGACAGTGTTTTATTTAGATACCCCTACTAATTTAAAATTTTAAATAATTTTGGTTAACATCATACCAGGCAAATACTTAGTAAATGCTAATAAACTATAAACCAATAAATATTAAAAATCGGAGGTAACTTGAATTCGCTTGTATTTGAATTTACTTGTACATGAAAAATCAGCAAGTATCAGGCAAAACTATTGCCATATACTCTGATAGCCAAGCAGCTCTAAAGGCAATTGTCTCACCAGAAATCAAATCACGACTGGTGAAAGACTGTCTAGAAGACCTGACAGAGCTAAGTAGTCAAAATAAGGTGACCTTAGCCTGGGTTCCAGGCCATGAGGGATATAAGGGCAACGGAAAGGCCGACGAATTAGCCCGAAAAGGCTCAGAAAAGGCCATGACAGGCCCCGAACCCTTCTGTGGAGTTGCGGAGGTGCTAAGGCATTGTGCAAGGCATCCATTAAACAATGGATGCAAAAAGAGTCTCAGGAATGGTGGAACAACTATCCAAGACTGAGACAGGCTAAACAGTTCATCAAGGAACCATCGGCCAAGTTCATGAAAGACCTACTGGATCAAAAGCGTGAAACCGTTAGGATAACAGTAGGCCTTCTTACTGGATGCTGTCGCCTCAAAAGGCACATGAGTGTCATAAATCCAACAGAAGAAGCAACTTTGTGCAGGTTCTGTGAAGAAGAAGAGGAAACATCATTCCACGTCCTGTGCCAATGTGAAGGCCTGGCTGGAATGAGGTTTCTAACATTGGGCGAAGAAAAGCCAAATGCATGCAACTACATGCGGGAGCCACTGTCAAAGCTACTAAGTCTAATTAAAAAGACTAGGCTAGACGACATACTCTAAAACAAACGGAGTCCCACAATAGATCTGAAAAGGTCGCGGTGGACAAGGACAAATAACGTCCAACTCCTAATCTAATCTACCTACATGAAAAAATCATCATAATTATATTACTAAAAAAATATACCTACATATTTACGTATTTTTTTAACATATTACTCTGAGAATACTGGTAAGTTTAAAACTCTACGCCACTGGCGAGCATATTATGGACACTGTTTACAACGTTGCCCGCCGGTCCTAAGAGATCTGTCTTTCTCTCTTCCACCCATTAACAATTTTAAAACAATAACAGTCCGCAATTGTATGGGATTTATGAACGAAACATTTTGTCTCTATGTTGTAATGTCTTTGTGTTAAAGCCTTCAAGACTGCTAGATAAAGTTGCCATATATCAAACTAGAAACGTAACGTTTTAAAGTTTAAAAATCAAAAATGAAATAATATTTTTCTCGAAATCCGGTATGAATTCAAACAAATATAAATGAAACAATATATATTTAATATCTATATCCTAAATAAATAAATAAATTAAATAAAATGAAGCGACCAGAGTCCCTTTTTCCACATAATTTACAATCTTAGAAATTTTATAGGGCCCTTTTTCTCAGAAGGTCTGTTCATCAAATAATTAATGCAGCTAAGTAGGATTATACAAGGTGAACTCACTTGCTGTGTAATCAAGTAGCCAGTAAAATGATTTCTTACAAATGTACATTAATTATTGCTTTTTTTTACCTCTACAAGGTCATCCATTTTAAAGGAAAAGCTTCTGGTGAACCTTATCTTATGGTCTATTTATACTCCCTTATTATAAGTATCTGTATTAGTATTATGATTAAGCATTAAACTGGACAAAATATTCAAAAAGGGCATTTATACTCGTTTTATAATTAGTATTAGTGCTTATTTTTTAATCCTAATAAGATATAATTCTGCAGTCAACAAAATCATGGTTACTGAAGAAATGTGTAAGAGGCCAGTTGTGTTCTTAGAATATTTTTTAAGATATTTGATTTTAAACGTGTTTTTATTAATATTTTTACTAGTTAATTTTATTTAAAAACATTATTATTCAAAAATAGGTATAATTAAGGACATTTTAACGGATTTATGTCTCCAATTTATATCAGAAAAAAAAAGAAGCAGAAATTTGAGATAAATCAGATAGAAAAGAGGCCTTTGCGTTAGAGATGGGCAAAACAGCTAGTAGCAGTTAAAGCAGTTACAGCTTTTTTTAGTTAGCTGCTATCAAATAACTGCTTAAAAGAAGCATGATGCTGCTGCGCTGGTAAGTATTCGACTATCCCGGCGGCCGAGGGCTGACGGCATTTTTGTGACTTTATGTCGCGTGTTGCATTTGAAAACGGCTGTTCGCTACCTACCAGCGTTGTTACCGACCTATTTTCAGAGTGTAGAAATCTCTAATAAAATTGGGTGCTTTGTGTATCTGAGTGATAGATGGTGATTGTATTTAAGATAGCCTTGCGCTTGCGACACCTTTTGTCTAATTTGCAATTTATTACTTGGGTTGTATTTTGTTTTATTGGTCTTAATAGGCTACTATTATTAATAGCCGCTAGATGAAGAATAATTTTAAGTAATTTTATTCGAATAAGCCAACCTGTTGAACGGTGATGTTGTTTCTACATTATTTTTGATTATGTGCTACGCTATGGTTGTGACGGACCGCTATATTATTTGATAATTTCGGTTTAAAATTTATTTAAAAAGTTGAAAATGAATTCAAAAAGGAAAACATCTGTCATTTGGAACTTTTTTACTGCTAGAGACGCCACAACAGCTAAGTGCAATTTTTGTAGTCAAGTTTTGTCATATAAAACAACAATTACGAACTTACGGCAACATGTTATGCGGAAACATCCATCTGTTAGGCTACCAAACTTACAAGAACCCACCGGTTTCAAATTTAGAACCTATCGAATTAGTTCACGTACAAAATGAAAATACCAACGTAGCTTCGTCCTCTTTTGCACAAGCAGATAAAAATTAAAAAAAAAAACAACCTAGTTCCCACTTCCGCATCAGTAGTAGCTGATCCGAAACAAAATCCAGATCCGGAGTTGGTTTCTTTAAAACCAAAGAAAAAAACAATTCAATAATAAATCTATGTAAATAAAAAAATGAATCCAGCGCGGAAAAAAATTATCGACGACAAATTATTAGAGCTCATTGCCAAAGATATTCAGCCATTTTCTGTAGTAGAAGATACAGGATTCAGAGATTTCTGCCATGCACTAAATCCATCATATGTTTTGCCTAGCAGAAAAACGCTGTCTAAAACTTTAATACCAGCAAAGTATTTAGACACCTTAAATAAAACTAAGGGTGTTGTATCAAATGTAGAATCTGTCACAATTACTACTGATTTATGGAGTTCTAGAAACAACGATAGTTATATGGGCGTTACTGGTCACTTTATTGACGCAAATTATGTAGTCAAATCAGTACTTCTTGATATTTTTTTATTTAAAGGCTTCCATACCAGTGCCAACTTAGCTGATGAGCTACTTCGAATTGTTAAAGAATGGGATTTGGAAAAAAAAAAATATTAGTAGCTATATCTGATAACGCTGCTAATATTAAGACAACTTTCTTAGATGATTTAAAGTGGAAACATTTCGGATGCTTAGCACATACCATCAATTTAATTGCTCAAGATGGACTAAAATCAATGGAAGATCTTATAGATAAGGTTAAGCATATAGTAAGCCTTTTTAAAAAACGTCATTTGGCTAAACAAAAACTTGATAGCTTTCAACAACGAAATGAAAAGACTCCAAAAAAATTGCTTCAGTCGGTTCCAACGCGGTGGAACTCTGTATATTATATGTTGGAGAGAATAATTGAATTAAAAGAAGAAGTAAGGGCATCTCTTGCTATTGTAGCCAATGAAAATACACCCAACCTTAGCAATCATGAGTTTGAAGAAATAAATCAGCTGATCAAACTACTTACACCATTGGAATCGGCAACAAAAGTAATGAGCGGCGAAAAATGTTACACTTTCTTCGGTCATTATTATAACTAATGGATTACTAAAATGTATGACCGAATTCTAAGCAATCATACATTAGTTGGACCACTTTCAGATAGACCAAGAAAAATTGCCGAAAAATTATTCAAAAGCCTTCAAACTCACTTTAAAAATTTAGAAATGAGTTCAATATTACTAGTTTCGACTTTTCTGGACCCTCGATATAAAAATATTGGATTCTCTGGAGAAATGTTTGGTGAAAAGGCGAAAACATTGATGATACATATTTTAATAAGTTATATTGATCGCTTTAATAATACAGATGCAGATGGACCAGAGGAGGATAATTCCCAAGAAAGTTCAACCTATGATGAATTATCGATTTGGGGAGAGTTTGACAAACAAGCTTCTCAGTTTCGACCGGTCCAAGGCAATGATAGAAGTCCAAAGATATCTTGAAGAGCCTCTTCTTAGTCGCAAAAGTGATCCATTAACTTGGTGGAAAAAATAATAGACATAATTTCCCTAATTTAGGTAAAATAGTGCTTCATAAATTTGGAACAGTGTCGACATCCGTTCCATGTGAAAGGTTATTTTCGAAAACAGGAGAGATAATATCAGAAAGACGAAGTAGACTCTCAGAAGACAAAGTTAAACAAGTTGTTTATAAGAAATAATGAATACCTTATTTTTTAAAAATAATTTTGTGTCTTATAATTTGTTTTCTTTGACCTTCATATTTTTTTTAGAACTATTTTAGTTTTTTATATTCTATTAATCCGAAGTATTTTTTTGTTGCATATTTTATTATTTTGTTAGAATTTATTTTTATTTAAAATTAAATGTGTAATATTTTGTTTCATTTTCCATTAACCAAATTTGTTTACGCAGCTGTAAATTAACGAGCCATACCGTACCTTTAATATTCCCGACTGACTAAAACGCACAACACTGGCTCTAGCCGCTGGCCACGATCGCGTATCGCTTTGTAGGTGACGAGTTCACGAGTTGCTTCTTTCCAGCAGCTATTACGACATTTATTATAACAGGCGCAGACAAAAGACGTGTAATGCGATCTCAAACGGCGGAGCGGAGTTAGGTTATGTTTAGTAGTAGCAGAAGAAGCTTTTTTTAAAATCGGGTAGCAGTGATAGCTGCTTTAAGCAAAATAACTGTTAAAAAATAGCAGCTTACGCGATAGCAACCCACCTCTACTTTGCATAGTACATAGTCGTTAGAGTACGATTCAACTTAGAAAAAGCCACGGGCGTCATCAACTAGTCATCGTCTGCCTCACTTTAAAATATTCCTTCTCCGTTGCTCCAGATCGATATACCAGTGGCGTAGGCTCTTATTTAAATAAGAATTAAAGCAGTTTCCCAACAAAAAACATTTATTGGATTAAAAAGTTAAATTTTAATGATTTAAACATTTGTATATTACCTAAATAACTAAACTAAAATAACATTACATATATTTTTCGACTTTAGACTTGCAAAACATTCAGTGGGAAGTAAATAAAAATAGCAACACAAATTTGTAATTTAAGATTTTTATTACAATTAAAATAATAGTTATTTATGCAACTAGTGCAAAAAGTGAAACTAGAGGAGTACATCCTAGTTCGTCCGTTAATGAACTATTATACTCTGTTTTTAAACTAAGAGCAGCGATTTGAATTTAAGTTGGCAATTCTGTAGTCTTCTGATTTTTTTTTTCACAAAAAATATTTTAAAAATACTTAAAATTAATACATAGGTATGTATGAATAGTTCACTTTTGACATGTAGTGTTATGAAAATGTTGGTTCCAGTTTTCAAAACAAATTCTGACTCATAGGCCTGTAAACTTTTGAATGCCTTTATTTGCCCTCTAGCGCATTAACCATGGGTTAACACTAAATAAGCCATAATATCCACATTACTCATAGAAGAGATACCAGTTACTTGTCATTCACTGATTAACTTTTACTTTTTATACCTATAACAAATATATCCTTAAAAATGTAAACACATCTTTATATTTTATACTAACCTGGCTACATCTGGATATTCCATTAACAATTTTCTTAAATATTTAATATCCATTTTAAAAAGATCATAGTTATTCTCAAAAAGTCGATTTCAAAAGCAAGAAAAAAGTATTTCTGACATTAATCAACAACCATATTGACTTTAATTTGATAGTGACATTTCGTTTTAGACACTCATTTCAGATCACAATAATGTGAAATTTGCGACCGTTGTCTGGGACCAATTAAAAAATTACTTCTATGACATTTATTCGTTTCTTAACCGCTCATTGGCCGTTCACCGACTAAGGCCGATAAAGATAATTATTTCATAAATTTTGAACACGACTATATTTCGAAACTCGCTCTTAGTAACAAATCTAGTTACTTTTCCCTGTGTAAATGCGTCTTTTCAATTCGCTCCTCCTAGTTTAAAAACAGAGTATAGTACTCTCGCTGTCTTCACTTTCTTCCGATGAACCCGTATTTTTGTTCGTAAGTAAAAGCTTGGCAACGCCGAAGTTTGGCTCACAATAATAAGGGATCCATGTTTACGCGATAGCTTCTGTTCGAATTATATTCTGGACCATGCGGCAGTCGTACAGCGTTGCCAAATTATTAAGCATTTGTATCTCTATATTAGAAAAACGAAAAAAAAATCGCCAAAACGCCACTGACGCTTAAATGGGATGGGCCTGAGAGAGAGGCAAATTATTGCGGCCTTTGTCAGGTATGATGTGTGTGGCTTTTTCTTAGTTGAATCGTACTCTAGCTTTGCTTCCTCGTGGTGATACGTCATTTGTCATTCTGTCAACTTTATATGCGGTAAACACTGCTGATACACAAAAATTGTATACAGCGCATGATTTGTACCGAAATATGATCGTTTTCGAATTTGTTGGAACCAACCTATAAAGAACATTATGTGTATTGTCAATTGTAATTATCCATTGTCTATTAAAAACAAACCAAATACGTCAATGATTCATTTGATAGAAAAGAAGAAATTTAAGATTTAACATAAAAGTTGAACCTGTCAATTATTAAGCACAAATATTAATGCTAATAATAATCATAAATCGAGTATAAATGTCCCCATTACATTGTGAAAGTTCAACTTAATCCTTAATCATAATACTAATAATAAGGGAGTATAAATAGACTCTTAGAAGATCTCACAGGTAATTTTTTAATCCAACAAGAACTCAGATCGTCATTAGTGAAAGACCCTAACATAAGCATGAATTCAGATGGTCTTTATCGGATGCAAATTGTATCTGTGTCAAAGTGGTTTAGAAAAATTTAAAAGGCTTCAAGCCATAGAGGTTAGGTAACTTATGTATAAACATACATGTATGGTAATTTAAAACTTTTAACGTGCATGTATATAAAAAGAACAATATTTTTAATTTCTTATATTTTACATTTAGATTCAACCATTTGAGTTAATGTGTGGGATTAGAGCACCCGCACTGTGATAATACTATCAGATACTTTACCGTTTTAGTTCATGTTCATTCAAAATATTCTGACATTTTTTTTCTATACCTGTAAACCATTTAATTCAAATTTGCAACATTTAATTGTTTAGATAGATGAACGACCTGTGTCAATGGCCATTTGGTTGTAGTTTATTATAATAAATTAAGTACTTTTATTATTATTTTAGTTTTAAATTATTTTACGGTTCTTAATTGGAAACAATTTTACACTCAAATTTTTTAATCAAATTACTAAACATTTTTTAGAAGGCTAAAATTAAAATAGTATCCTTCTAATAAAATATCGCAATTTTAAATGTTCTTCAATCAGATTATTTACAGTACAGTTATGTAATTTCGTTTATTATATATTTGGTTGTTGTTGTTATTATTATAATATCTCTTATAGATATTTACACATTTCCAATAACATTTATTGAAATAACCTAAAAACTAAAACTATTCTAAATTAATTTTATAATCTCGCCATCATTCGCCATGCACTGATTCAAAAATCTAGTCAAAGATGTCACTACAAGCTGTAAATTCCAGTAATTTATTAGTGGGTTTGATTAGTTTTCATAAATTGAAGATAAAAAACTCACCATTATATTGAATAATAAGATAACGACTTTAACGTTATCAACGATGACAGAAAGTACGTGACCAATCTCAAAAGAACTGCAAAGTTTCAATGCTGGCAATTTCCTAAAATTGGGATCCAGTTCGAGTCTATTCTTCCATTGTTCCATGAATTTCGTAAATGCGCTAAAAAAAAAAAACGATTCTTTTAATCACAGTCAACATTTAAAACGATTTAACCAATATCTTGAAATGGTTATTCAGACTCAACCATGGCATATTAAGACTAATAATAAAATAAATTTGTATTATTTTGTAACAGTTTTCCACATCTAATGTAAGATATACAAAGGTTGATCTGCATGATACAGGTGTAGTTACCTATTTACGGTAATGCGTTAGTTTTAATTTTTTTAAGATATACTGCAATGTTATATCCTGGTAACCAACCTCTATGGTTGTTGAGACATAACGGGCTAGCCCGGTAAAATTTCTAACAACAGTTATGACCAAACTGCACATACTTTGAGATTTTCTTTTACTATACGGAGAATGGTCGCACTGCGCACCTTTCTGAGTGCCTTTTAAAAGGAGATAGAAAACTCCGCCATTTTGATCCTTTATTTCGTGTTGCCTACATCTTGGCGCAATATTTTTAATAGTAAACCGACAATTCCGGAAGCAGAAGCGGATGATTAAAACGCACCTGATATTTTGCTTGCTGCTGTCAGTGAATATTATTTTTGGAGTCACAGTTTATTGCTAAAGAATCAGTTAGCTCACTCGGACCAGTTGAAAGTTCCAAAATAACATCCACTCCAGGGATACATATTCAGGATACGCAAAAGACTGCTGTTTTATTATAGGCGGTTGTCATATATTGTATTATCCGAGTTGCGCGGTGTATAAACTGGAACATTGAGATCAAAAGTGCCGACGCAAAGTGAGCGATCTGATTTTTTAGCTATAAACTGTGGCATAGGAATCAAAATGGCCGCGCCCTATGTTGGGCGTGTCGGACCTCTCTCTTGCACCGTATAGTAATCAAAGTATGTGCCAAACTTGTCATTATTTTAAGTCACATTTGGATGGTGTCAAATGTCTAAAACGTGGTAAATTGCAGTATATCATAAAACGTTCTATGATACTCGCCCGATACCTGATCTCTTCGTGTTCGCACGGTCATATAACGTGTTCGCTAGCGCTCGCACATTAACGGCCGTGCTCGCTTGTAAAGATATAGGTAACGGGCTTATAACGCAAACTACTGCGTACCTTGACAATATAGGTTATTTGAATCAGGCAATCCAAATCACGTGACTTTAAATGGTGGAAGATTGGCAAAAATTCCAAAGTTTTTAGGGAGGTTATTTATTAGTGTACTATTGTTTTCGAGATTTTAGAGTTATTTTTGAAGTGTTTAGTTGAAAAATTAATCACAAATCAGTTGAATGTATACATAATATTTATTGTATAGATAAATGAATATTTTATTACACTCTAAAAATTAACGTTGATCCATTTGACATTCTTCAAATAAACGATCAACAATTCTAAAACACAAATTTGCAACAAGACAGTCAAATACGAATAAAAAAATCTTTGCCACAGATATACCCCGGATAGTGAAACAGAGGAAAAACTTTTTTATTTTCAACTTTTATTTTTCATAAAAGTTTTTTGCTCGTTTCAAATATACTAATTCAAACAGAAGTTGAATATCTCTTTGCTTTAGTGAAATAAATGACAAAAACTTTTTTTAAGCTATTGCATAGCTTTTATCGCGGCGACCGAATCAAGAAATTCCTTAACGAAAATAAACCTAACACCCCCCACTCCGACCGGCACAGCGGTGCGGCGTTGAAAGCCGTGGAAGATTTTATCCGACCCTATTCGTATAAGTATAAAGCGGAGTTTTAAATATACGTCTGCGGACTGGAACGTTTATGTAATACAAGAACTAGAAGAGCTTTCTCTGGCTTCTAATAAATTGGTATCACAAATGTTCCCAGCTGGCGTAAATAGCTATTGCATAGATTTTATCGCGGGCTTTAAGCGTATCGACCGAATTAAGAAATTCCGTAACGAAAATAAACCTAACACCCCCCACTCCGACCGGTACAGCGGTGCGGCGTTGAAAGCCGTGCATCGTCTAACGTCGATTCAGTTCAGCAGACTTCGGCACGGTGTTTGTGTGCGTGCAACTAGACGTATGCGTGTAGATTAGCTGCTAACTGCTCATAACTGATTCTATCTCTTTTAGACACAATTTCGGAAAAATTGAATTTGAAAATGAATAATGATCCACAAGAATCCACAACAAAATATGGGATCACCATTGATGCGGTATTTTCCAGATATTTAGAGGATATCAAGTCTCAAACTTACGTTTCTTATTTCAGTTACCATAAACCTATAGTTTCAATGATAAAAATTCCTGAATAACCTACATGTATTGTAAGATAATAAAAATATTTTAAACAATATTAACTTCTCATTTATTCAATAAAAAAAAAAAAAATGTTTTATTATCGGTCACCACGCTCAAAAAGTGCAACTTGAATTAATATCAAAGAAAAAACTTGAATTAATAACAAAGAAAAAAAATACTGCATAAATAAAATAAATAAATAATTATAATTGCATAAGTTGATGAAAAATGATATGCAATAGCTTTACCGCGGCAGTCCCCGAGTGCCACACGTATTTCTTTTTTATTTTTTGAAACAAAAACTTTTTTGAGAAATAATGAAATATTAAAATAAAGTTTTTCCTCCTCTTTTTCAGTCCATCCAGGACACTATTTTCTTTGCCAATCGTCGGCCATATTGGATTTTTTGACAGGATGTTGGATTGTCTAATAGAGTACATTGTTGTACATGGTTAAAATTTTTTGCTCATATTCAGGGATGTTGCCTCAATGTATATGTGATATAGTCAGATATCTCGTGATAAAATTTCTAATTCTACCATCATGAAAGAACTTTGTAAAAACGGTATGCAATGTAAAATGATACAAAAAAAAAGGAATAAATAGTTGATGTGCCTAAAAATTTTTGCAGGAAATACCAACAATAACAAAACTTAGGGCGGAGAAACCAGGAATATTTTGTAAACCTTCAAAAAGTATTTTTTTGAAAATGTTTAAAAGGAATTAAAAAAAAACATTTACGTGCTATTCTGTATTAAATCTATGAAAATTTGCTTCTTTTTGTTTTAATAAACATCTTTTTAAATGGGAGGATTTCCCACCTTTTTTTCATAAACAAATTTAAAGCTCTTAATATTTTCGAGGCATATAATATAGCGAAGTAATTCCAGTGGCGCGCATATATATACAATCTTATATTAGAAAATCCTTAAAACAATTTTGCTTCGGCGAGAGGTCCGGTTTGCTATAAAAATTAATTGTCAAGTCAATTTCGGTATACAGACACCAATTTTAAAGATTATTACTTTATATTATTTAATACTTTTCCCTTGACTGACTTAATTGTTGATGTTTGTTTGTTTTTAAAATGATGTAAAGTTGCAAATTAATGCAAATATGTTTATCTTTTAAATTATTTTTGTATATTTTTTATTGTAATGTGGATTTCCCGTAAGTTGTTCAAAACAAATCAGCGATTTTTTTTAAATATAGAAAAATATATTTGCTTTAATAATAACTTGGGACTACCTAACTCCGTTAAGCCGAAAGTAAGGGGTGTAACAAGAAGTGTCTAATTACCCTCATCGAACAACTCGTCCATTTTTATTTATTTTTAAAGTCTAGACTAAAACGAATAAAAACATTAACGTGTCACAGAAAAAAAAATAGACTTAAAGTATCCCGTACTAATCTTATTTTACGAAACTAATAAATGTTATAGATGTCAATCTTCTGATCATAAGTCACCATTGCCGCAAGCTCTTATATTCAATGTCTATTAGATATTGAATGTGAGGGTTTGCCTGGATGAAAACGATAACAAGGTCTACGATTTAGTGCTTGACGATCAATGTGTGCATATCAGACAAATTGCCTAGGACACTGGCTTATCAAATCGTACAGTACCAACATTATTTCAAAAGAACTCGATATGAAAAAGTTAGCGCAAGAAAATTTTCTTAACAGAGTTACTATTATCTGCCGTCCTAGGAACAGATGCCGTATTTACAAAAAATCTGATTTTGAGATTTTTGCATCAATAGGTTCGTGACAAGCTAAATTAACTATTTACCAAGCAGAAATGCCATATATTTTTTCGAAATATTAAAAATCCAACACAATAATTAGCAGTATCTAAATACTTAAGAGTTAAGAAAATAACTTTAAACCTCATTTTCTCCGCTTGAAGCCCTTAGTAGATACATCTGTTTTTAGGACGGCAGTATAGATGAATCATGGGTTCACCATTATGATCTTGAAACTAAAGTGCAGAGTAAAGAGTGGAAACATGGGAAGTCTCCTCCACCTCGAAAATTTAAAGTGGTTCAATTAGCTGGGACGTTCAGTTTTTTGGAATGCTGAAGGGATAATTTTGGTTGAATATCTACAGAAGAGAGCTACTATTACAGGCAATTATTAAGCATAATTAATTTCTAAATAGCGTTAAAAGAAAAATGTCGTCGAAAATTACGTAAAGGTGTGCTGTTCCATCAAGACAATGGTCCCAGTCATACCTCTTGTATTGCAATGGCTTCTAGCCAGCAAGCGGGATTCCAATTGGTAGAACTGACAGATCATTTGCGTTATAACATATTTTTAGCGAGTTAACTTCCATTATTATTATTTATTATTATACATTGATAAAGGCTGAGGACATAAGTCCTATGATAGCCTAAAAACAAAATAGAAAAATTGGAACAAAGTAAACACACTGAAATAAAAAGATGAGAACACTAAAAATTATATAATAATGTTAAACAACCACTCGACTAACTTTTTTAATAATGTTAAACACTCGTCTAACTTATTTTTAAAGTTATGGCACCAACAACTTCGTCGCTGAGATCGTTCCATACATTAAATACCCGGTTGGAAAGGAATGCTTGTCTGTGCTTCGTTTTTAGGTTTTCCTTTTTTAATTTTGGTTCATGCCCTCGCAGACGAGTCAGTATTTAACAAAAAAATGTCACTAAGATTTCCGTAATTATATTTAAGTATTCTAAAAGTTAGAATCGGGTCCCCTCGTAGTCGACGATTCGCAAAAGTTGATAAGTTTGACAATTGTAGTCACTTACTAAATCCGCAGCCACAAAAATCTAACATCTATCTCGTAACCTTGATGTGTTCATTTGTTGTACGCATGGCGCAGGACACAAAAGTATTAAAGATACCGAGTGCTTGCGCCGTGTGTAACAAAACTGCACACATCAGTTTAAAAAAAAAAACACTTTTTGTATTTTTTTGTTTCTTAGTAATTTTTAGTCACTAATAAACCATTTAAAAAAAAAAAACTTGCGTGGCCCACAGGACCCGGTACAAATTTTTTCCATAAGTGGCCTGGCAGTTAACGTGTTAAACAAAAATGATGTTACACGCTAGCCATAAATAAATGAATTGAATAGGTTGGAGAACATTTCTTCGCTGGTGCTCTTGACAAGTGCATTAGGATTAAGAGAGATTATGTCATAAAAAGTATACTTTTTATTAAAAATAGGCCAAGGCCGAAGCATAGGGATCAACCCTCGTACAAAGATGGTGTATTGTTGAATTAAGTAAATAATAAATTTAATTGTTAATAGTTGTTTTTTAAAAGGCAGGAGAAAAAAATACGTATAGAATGGGATTAAAGTTACTTTTCTTTCTTTTGGGTGATTTTCTACTCCCCTTACCCGTCAGACATTAACTTAATGCGCGTGAAGAAAAGGGTATAGAAATTATACAAATATTATCCTGATTTTAGGTTTAAACTGTAAAAAAAAATAGTTACTTACATGTTGAGATCATTACAGCATTCGGAAATGACGTCCACGAATCCGGATATCTGATCGAACGTCGATTCGTCCTTCACCGCATTCATTTCCGCACCAACCTCAACAGACTTGACATTTTCCTCCATTCGAATCACATCCGCTCGAGCCTTATCCCGACAAATCTCTGTCCGCGACAATTTATTTTGCAATTCTTTGAGCTCCAGCTCTAAATTGACACAAGTACTATCTTTGACGGACAGTTCAACGATACTATCGGACAACCTTCGCTCGTATTCTTCCGCGGCTGCGGTCAGAGATCGGATCCTTTCTTCTCTATCTGATAAAAGAAAAGTCAAAGACGTCAATTCCTCGCTCTTTTTACACAAATCGCCCTCGCAATTTTTCAAAGCCGTTTCGATATACGACAACTTGACTGACTGTTGGAGCTGTTGGTTTTCCAATCTGGCGGCGAAATGTTTGAGATTCTGGTTCTCCAATGAGACGTTTTTTAAAGAGATTTCCTTCAATCTGAGATCGCCCGTCATATTTTTGTGCTGAATTTGGAAATCTTGTACGCTTTTAGATAATTTTTCGATGGTGATTTTATTGTATTCGAACATTTCGAAATTCCTTTGCAACAGCGATTCTTTTTGCGATAGATTTAATAAAAGGTTTTTGTGTAATTCGTCATATTGAGACAGTTTTATGGATAACTCTTTGATTTTATCGTTCGACGCGTTACATAAATGTTTATAATAATCTTCCTGTTGCGCTAATTTATCTTTTAAATCGTTAATAACCGATTGCAAACTGTTTTTTTCGGTACTAATTCTAACCTTACCTTCGCGCAATTCGTCCTCTTTGGTGCTCAATCTCTCTTTAAGTATGTCATTTTTGGATCTTTCGTTCAGTAGATTCGTTTCTAGATCGTCTAATTTCTCTCGCAAGCGATCGATCGTCAATTTCTGCTTCTCGAAGGTGAGATTCTTGGTCGGTAAAGCAGATTTCTCGTAGTTAGACGACATCAAACTTGATTCCGATGACGTTTCTGATTCGATGTCGCATTTAAAACCGCTATCTTCGTATTCGGCCGCTTTGATTTTATCATCGCAAACGGCTTGTTTACTGAATTTCTGTTTTTCAATACTCAAATCGGTTCTGAGTATGTTATTTTCGAACTCGAGATCTTTAAGTTTGGAACTTAATAGTTGTAAAGCGTTTTGGTACTCGTGTAGCGATTTGTTTAGTTCGTCTTTGTACAATTTGTGGTGATCTTTGATGCATTCGGTTTCACTTTTCAGCAAAGAAAGCTCTTCGAGAACGTGTAGATTGTTGTTAACCAATACGTGATAGTTTGTATTGAGTTCATGGTACTTCGAGCTGATGTCAGTTAAATCTTTTTGATGCGAACTAAGTTCCGATACAAGGTTTCTATTCTTCTCCATTTCTTGGTTATATTTAGATAACATAACGTTGTAATCCTCCTTTAATTCCTTTTTGATATTTTCGTTCTCTCCAATATCGCTTAGCAACTTCTGGTAATCCTCGGTTAGAACGTTTAAACTGCTGGTTAAATCTCGATTGTCGCTCCACATTTTGTTCTTGATGACTTCTTCGCGTTTGAGGATGTCTTTCAAATGGCCGAGTTGTTTCATTTTATCCTCTGCATCTTTTTCCAATTTGTCTATTTTGTATTTGAAATCGTTATTCAACTTTTGTAGTTCCGACATTATTGAGGATTTTCCTTCGACGTGTAATTGGACTTTATTGGCAGTTTGTTCGATGTTCGAATTGAGCTTTTCTCTACTTTTTAGCTTCTCTTTGGTTTCTTGAATCTCTTCTTTACAATCTTTTAAAGATTTCTTTAAATTATTATTGACATTGGTTAAGTTTAATATGGCATCATTGTCTTCATCCTTTTGACGATGTAATTCGTCAATTAGAGAAATTTTCCTGCCATATTCGCCTTCAAGGCTTTTGTAAGCCGATTCAAAATCGAACTTATTTTTAATATCTTGGATTTCTTTGTCTTTTCTGACCAGTTCGGATTTCAGTTTGTTACATTCATCCTGAATAAACGTTAACTTATCTTCTAATCTATTTTCTTCAGTCTTATTCTCTAGTATGTTGGAAATTCGCTCTTCTAAAGACCGTTTTTCCGATAAAATTTTCTTGAATTTTTCATCTAAATCTATTAATTTGTCGCCGCTGGTTTTTGAGTCATTACTGAGTATTTTGTTTTCTGTTACGAGAGTTTGAACTTTGTTTTGCAATGATTCGATTTCATTTTTGAGTGTGGTAATCTGTTCTTCGTATTCAAGGTCGGTTCCATTTTTGTATTTGTGGTCGAACTGAGGATCAACCTGGAAAAATTTAAGGTAATTTCATTTATCTTTCCAATTCATGTATCGAAATATGACAAAATATTTTCTATGACCAAATTATGAGAACAGGTTGCTTAAAACTTAAAATATTTAGTTGTTTATCAAAAAAGGAAAGACAATCGATGCCCAGCACGTATTATATTGTACTAGTGGTTGCCAGCGGCTTTGCACACGTGAAGTCATGTTTTTAATAAAAAAATGCATGATTTCAAAAAAAAGAGGGTTCATGGTATGTATGTGAGAGTTATTATAAATTAAATTTACGTAGATTATTCTAATATTTAAGTATATTCATCTAATTAAGAGATGGTTATAGTTGTGCAACAGCCTTGGCTGCTGTTACTGATGATATAATTTCGTCCCTCGATAAAAATGAGCTTGTTATCCTAATTTTAATTGACTATTCTAGAGCCTTAGATGCTATAAATCACCGGATTCTATTGGAAATTTTACATTTTGTAGGGTTAAGTGCTTCTGCAATAAATTTTTTATCGTCTTATCTTATTAACCGAACTTAACAAGTTAAACTTGATCAAAAATTATCTAATATTAAAGACCGCTTTTATATTCCATTTATACGTCGAATTTAAATACTTGTTTAAATTTTGGAAAGTATAATCTATATGTAGATGATAGCTGTATTATTCCTTTAAAAACAATGATATTATTGATAAAATTAATAAACACCTTTCTACACTTACACAAAAATCTTAACTAAGCATAATTCAATAATAAACGCGTAAAAATCAAAGGCCATTCTTTTTGCAAATGAAACCCAAAAAAGGCAAGCTCTAAATCAGCTAACATTGCGGTTAAACAATGAAAGCTTAATATTTTCTGATGTTTGCAAGAATTTAGGATTATATGTAGATTCAAAATTGAGATTTACGAAAGATATAACGAATAGAATCCGTAAAGCTTATGGGTATCTAAAGCTTATTTTCAATCAAAGAAGCTACCTAAATGCCGATACTAAAAAACCTTGTGTGAATCCTGGTTTTATCTCATTTCAACCACTGTTACGTAGTATACGCCCCTTGCTCAGATAATTGTGATATACGCCGTATTCAAAAGTGTCAAAATTCTTGTCTACGGATGATTTATGCTATCAGGAGTAGAGAACGGATCTCACATAAATTAACGGAAACAGGATGATTGAATATGTCAAACCGTCGTAAATTACATTCATTGTGGTTTTTCTACAAAATACTTAAAAATAAATCTCCGTTATATTTGCACAGTAAAGTTAGATTAGGAACCGATATACATAATTTAAATTTAAGAAAAAGAGATATTATTGATACCTCCGCTCATAATAGAGAATTATTTAAAAGATGCTGCTCTTATCAAATATCTTGTTATGGAAATCTGCTGGATATACAATTTTATAGTGTATCAATAGAATTTTCAGAATTTAATGACAATTTCACAAATTCTTTTTATTATTATTTTTTTTATTATTATTTTGTTAGATTAAGCATTTAATTACAAATAATTATCTGTTATTAATTTATTGTGTTTCAAAATAACATAAAATTTATGTATCTGATCTTGAAATGACTTTTTTTCAAAAAAAAATTGTTATGTCAGATATTTCAAATATCATGTTTCCGAGTAGGAAATTGCAAGATCTATCAAAATCAAGAAAAAAAAATTGGGGTTGCATTTAAAAAAATTGTCAATGACGTCACTGCCCAAAAATGGGAAGTGGGGGAAAATTGAATTTTATTTAAAAAATTGCGCTTTAAGTAAACAAAATTGACCTGTCCGAGCATTTTTTCGAAAAACCAGCTACTTCCATTATAATGAATTTATTCCATACATTAGCGACATACTGTACATCTACCTCGAAACATTTTTCTATACATATTCATTGAAAACGAAAATACTGAAAAATTTAAATTTAGCACTTTTCCATTACGGTCCATTTTAGAAAAATCATGTATAAACAAAAATTATAGAGATCGATATCGCTTTTAGTTCAACAATTTTCATAAAAATCGGAATTTTGCACATTTTGTCAAATTTCTCGGATACGGACCATTTCAGGAAATTTTGACATAAAACAAAAATTATAGATAATAATATTAGAAGTAACTTTTATTTGAACGATTTTCTTCTCCAAACATAAATAACAGATATATTCCATAAAATATAAAAACGGCCTCCCATAAAGTACCCCCCTAGATGTTCCGACTTTGTCCAAAATCTTATCATTTCACGTCAGGCTGAAATAAACCTTAAATTTAAAATTTAATGTTTTTTTCTTTATCCGTTTTTGAGTTTTCTTCAAAATTCGAAATTTACACATTTTCTCAAATATCTCGAATACGGTCCATTTTAAAAAAATTATGCAAAGAGTAAAAATTATAGAGAATTCTATTACAACTTTTATTTGAACAATTTTTATAAAAAAATATTTTTTTTACATTTTGTCAAATTTCTCGAATACGGACCATTTAAGGAAAATTTTGTATAGAACAAAAATTATAGATAATTATATTAGAAGTAACTTTTATTTGAAGAATTTTCTTCTCCAAACGTAAATAACATATATTCCATAAAATATAAAAATGACCACCTATAAAATACCCCCCCAGATGTTCCGACTCTGCCCAAAATCTAATCAGTTCATTAGACGCTGAAATAAAGCTTAAGTTCAAAATTTGGTGTTTTTCTGTGTATCGGTTCATGAGTTATGCGACCTACAGACACACACACACACACACACACACACACACACACACACACACACACACACACACACACACACACACACACACACACACACACACACACACACACACACACACACACACACACACACACACACACACACACACACACACACACACACACACACACACACACACACACACACACACACACACACACACACACACACACACACACACACACACACACACACACACACACACACACACACACACACACACACACACACACACACACACACACACACACACACACACACACACACACACACACACACACACACACACACACACACACACACACACACACACACACACACACACACACACACACACACACACACACACACACACACACACACACACACACACACACACACACACACACACACACACACACACACACACACACACACACACACACACACACACACACACACACACACACACACACACACACACACACACACACACACACACACACACACACACACACACACACACACACACACACACACACACACACACACACACACACACACACACACACACACACACACACACACACACACACACACACACACACACACACACACACACACACACACACACACACACACACACACACACACACACACCATCGCGAAAATAGTCAAAACGGATTCAGGGGACCTCAAAACGTAAAAATCCGTCGAAAACTCGAGGTCGAAAAAATCATGATTCCTATACTTTCCTTATATCTGTATACAGATAGGAAAGTAAAAAATCGATACTCCCTTTCCCCCTTTAAAATATGAAAAACTAAAAACCCTGCTACCCGTCATTTATTTGTGATCAGTAGCTATAATTCCAATTTTCAAGTTGCTACCATTAAAAAAAAATCGATACTTCTATACAAACTTTCACCTCCCGTTTCCCTTTTATTTATTTTTATTTATTTTTATTTATTTTTATTTATTTTTATTTATTTTTATTTATTTTTATTTATTTTTATTTATTTTTATTTATTTTTATTTATTTTTATTTATTTTTATTTATTTTTATTTATTTTTATTTATTTTTATTTATTTTTATTTATTTTTATTTATTTTTATTTATTTTTATTTATTTTTATTTATTTTTATTTATTTTTATTTATTTTTATTTATTTATTTTTACCTATTCAAGTTCCTACTTTTGAAAAACCGAAAGTCTCATACAAACTATCCCGCCCGTTTTCCCCCTTAATATGTAAAAATCCAAAAAAAACTTGAAACATGTCTATTTAGTTATGAGTAGCTACAATACCAATTTTCAAATTCCTACCTTAAAAAAAAATGATACTTTCATACAAACTTTCACCCCCCGTTACCCCTTTAAAATGTGAAAATCCAAAAACACGTCATTATTTATTTATGCTCATTAGCTGTATTTCAAATTTTCATTCTTCACTACCACTATGCAAAAAATAATATCTGATCCCTTGCTAAGAAAACCAAAAACAAATCTATCCCATGGGAATCGTAAATTTCTCCGGGATAAAAAGTATCATATTATGTACTATTCCAGATTATACTCTATCTTCGCGCCAAATTTCATCCAGATTCGTTTAGCCGTTCTGGCGTGATTGAGCAACAAAACATCCATACTTTCTCATTTATATAGTAGTAGGATTTAAATGTCATGAGAGACATACATATACTAGTTCTGTGACGTAATTGTTGCGCATTCTAATATGGTCGCATCATTACTGATCGATACGAGGCTTATTCCGTATGTTTATGCGGCAGCCTTCCGTTTGTAATGTGCTGATATTTTTGGTCTAATAAACTAAATGGGTCCAATATTAAGCTCTAAAACAGGCTTGGTAAGAAAATTGCCCTGTACATTAAAATGTATGAAATAAAGAACAAGCAATACAATTAAACAAAACAAAGATCCATTAATTGTTTAATTAATTCGTATTAATCATTAGCTTTTAGTATTGATTACAATAAGTGATTAAAAGTATGCAAATTTTTTACTTCCTGTATAACAAAAGGTAACTGTTGAAATATGAACCAGAAAAATGAGATAAATGCTAATTCCGATTTTTTTAAATTTAATAATATTCCTTACAAGACATATTATATATTACTGGAAAATTTAAATAAGTGTTTAAACACTAAAAAAAATTGAAAACATTTAATTTATTTAAATATTAATTCGATAAATCTATTATGAAATAATAATCTTCTTTAATATCGAATCGGAATTTACTCGAAA